GTGGATCTGCAGCCGTGCCGTTCTTAGCGTGACAGCGGGACATCCCGAAGGTCCGCTCATCTGTTCACTGCTCAGACGTCCTGATCTTCTACCTTCCTAGATCATCCAGCTGTAACCTGTTCCTGATCATGTCTTTAGTCCCGCTGTAACACTGATGCATCAGTCTCAGACGTCATGGAGCTCAGGTGTTATCAGAACTACCTGTGTGTGTTTACCACCCAGCTTCAGCTCTTCTGTGGTTGGGTCTAACCCAAGTTAGTAAATGTAAGTCCTCCATCAGGCTCGTGCCTCTTTCTAGTGTCATTTTAAAGGATTTTATGTATTTATTTAACCGTTACTAGATTACCAGCTACAGAAATGCTGCTAAAAACACACAATAATGTGAAGGTGGAAAAATTAAAATAGTGTCCAAAATTACATTCATTTCTGTAATTTAACTAGACTGAGAGACCATTTAAAGGCTCGGGAACCTTTACAGGTGTTTCTATTTGCAATTTTAAACTGTAGCTGATTGGGGTCTTGTTAAATATCACACCGTGACCTTTTAATAGTCTAGATAAGTGGAATGTTCCTGTTAGTAGTTCCTCCTGTTAAGTGCTTATTTATTTAAATTATTCAGATTTATAAAAAACATTTGGTCATTTATTATGTTCCAGTCATTAGTCATTTATATTTCACTGTTGTAGTAATTCATAGTAAATTAAGTAAGTTCAATTAAGAGGGGAACCCATTTTTCTTGCATTCTTTAATGGAAAAAGTAACTAAGTCATTATTTTTCTTGGTAATCAGTTACTTTTATAATCTCGTAACTCAGTTAGTAACTGAGTTACTGTTTGGACAAAGTAATCAGTAACTATAACGAACTACTTTTTAAAAGTAACGTTCCCAACACTGGTCTTAGATGACTCTGTTGTTTTTGCTTTGTATTAATTTGTTGTTTACTCACTCAGTTATCAAATGTTCTGAACTGACTGGAGTTGAAATCCGTCCTGTGTTGTATTTACCTATAACATGTAACATGACCACATGATGCCTCTGTGATTTCACATTTTTATGATTAACCAGAATCCAAACAAAACAACAACAGAGGTGTTTGTGGCGTGCGGGCAGCACGTGTGGTGTACCTGTGAGCCGTAGAAGCCCGTCAGCAGCCTTCTGTGTGAGGCGCTGCTGTTGCCCAGCTCTCCGATCTCAGCCAGCCCGTGTAGGTGGGCGTTCACAGTCGCGTCGTCTGTCTTACTGAGACCTGCGACTATGATCTCATAGTGCAGGTGACACTGTTTATCCACGGACACCCAGGCGTGCCCGGAGGAACCAGTTCTCACTGGTGGGGACACAAAGTGACCAGCTAGTGGGGTTGGTAGCTCTGGAGGAGACAGAGGGAGGTTTAACAAAGCAGATTCAGCCATGTGAAATGTGACACACACCCCTGTCCCCAGTCTTCATTGGTCCGTACCATTTCTAGGTGCCTCAATGCCATTATATGGCAGAGCCTTGATCTGGCCCCTGAGCTCCCCTTCCTGGTTGTGTGCCGTGGCCACATTAATGAAGAGTTCGTTCTGCAGCAGCATGTGGATGTGTCGAGCTTCTAGACGACTCCAGCTGCCCACCGCCCACCTGGAGGCTTTGATGTACTCTGCAGTCAAATCGTAGAGGACCGAGCGCTTGTGTCGGCGCCGAGGCTTCAGTTCTATGGTGAGGCCGACGACGTCGCTGGTGAGACCCGCAACTTGAACCTGTGGGGCAGGAGAAGGGAGATGGGCTTCAAATCTCCTCCAGTTTCAAATTGTTTATAAAGATTGCACTTCATGTAAAAAACACGTACAACTAATGATTAGTAATTGTGGTGCATAATGTTTTTGCTTGTGTTTGTTTGTGTTTTCGTCAGCACCACTAGATAGATCTCCAACTGTTAAACGCAGTAAATCCAGTTCAACGTGCCTGCCAAAGTTGAACATTCTGAGTAAACACTGATTTATTTTACGCACAAATGAGGAAGGAACGATTGTCCAACCAACAACCACATTTTGGCTCTGAATTTTTTTAACTGTTAAAGCCATTTTGGGATTTTTGGACGTAGGGTTGTAACTTGGGTTAACTCCAAAAGTTAGTCATCTGGGAAAAACATTCAATCACTTCTAAATATAATGGTTTTCAGCTACAAACCCACCAAACATCAACTCTATATCTGTGAGGTTGACTGAGCTGTAGCCATCTTTATTATTGTATGTTATATGTATATTATCTAATGGCAGCCATCTTGATCTGTGACCTGGTAGTCCAGTGTTCCATTGTCATGGAGGTTGAAGACAGCTGATCCCACGCCTCCTGTCTTCCCTGGGGTTAGGGCATCGCCACTGGACATCACACTCTGTAGAGCTGAACCAGACAAAGAAAAATTAACATCAATATTAGCGCTCATGTCTGCTGATGGCCCAGTGGATTCATGGAGTTATCAGGAGGAGACGGAGCATAAAGAGACATTTCACTCAGATTATCTAATAATCTATGTTTGTCACTATTAAACATCTCAGCTCCAAATGAACTTTCAGCCTTGGTCAGGAGTAAAACTATGTCGGAAACAAACGGATGCACTTTTATTATTGGTTTAAATCAGTGGTTCTCAACTGGTGGGGTGCGCCTCACCAGGGAGGCGTAAAAAGTTATTTGTGTCGTAGGAAGGGCTTCACACACAATGACTGAGAACCACCGGTTTACATCATTGGTGCAATTGTTACAATCTAAATTTGTACATGAAGTAAGTTATGACCTAGCGGTGCTATAATATATGTTGCAAAGACAGAAAAGGTTTAGCGCTGGCCTGTTTCTCAAATAAAACAGGTTGGTTTTGGCAAGTTAACCTGTGCATGAAATTTAAGGCTGCAGTCTAGCCTTGCACCAAGGTTTGTCATCAAACGATACCCGTGTACTGACTAGGTGAGCCCAGCTCAACACGAGGTTGATAGCTGTCGCTTGATCCCGTCAAAAAAATGCTACATATTCAGTTACACTCAACAGCCACTTTATTAGTTTCTCTTGTTTAACACAAATATCTCTTCAGATCAGCCAATCACATAGCTGCAACTCACTCACAGCAACTTTATTTAGTCCACCTGCTGAAGTTCAAACTGCATTGGGATGGAGAAACGCTTTACGGACTTAGAACCTGCTGTTGGTACCGTACAGAATGGTCAGAGTAGTTCAGAACCTGCTGATCTTCAAGCATCTGAATCCAGAAGCATCTCTAGGGTTTACAGAGATGGTAGAAAAATATCCAGTGAGCAGCAGCTAGACAATTCTTTTTGAGTTCAGATGAGAAGGATCAGACCACTGCTAGATGACAGAAATGTCACGCTGTGAGTTGGGGGGAGGTTAGGACCCAAGATGCAGACCCAGGATGACACAAGGCAGGAGTAGTGAAAACGTTAAAATCCTTTATTTAGGAGTAAATCCAAAGGGCTGGAAGCCAAAAACATCCAAAAAATCAAAAATCCAAGAATCAAACCCTGGGAATATGAACATCCAAAAACACAAGAGACCTAGAGATATTCTAAATACTTAGAGAGGGGGCGAGACAACGCTAACACAATGGACCATCAACCACACTGTGACACAGACAGGGTTATATACACAAGGGCTGGGTGATTAGGGAATTGTGCACAGGTGAGACTAATTAACAGAGAGGAGGAGCACAATGGAGCAGGGGAGGAAACCAGACCTAACAATGGGGAAGGGAACCAAATGAATCAGAGGGAGAAAACAGACTAGATAAAACACCTAACAGAAGACTAATGATAATAGGTGTGTAAGGAAAAACATAAGGGAAACCAAAGCCCTTTTCAGATAGACATTCTGGAACATTTGTGGACAATTCAATCCGGTTTTTAACCGGAACTGTGTTTTCAGACACACCACTTTTGTACCAGAACTTGTCCTTTCGGCTGCGTTCACACAGCAGGGAAAAGTTCCAGATGTCTGACGGCGGCGGAGGGGGGGGGGGGGAGGGGGGGGGGGGGGGTCGGAATCATGTTAAGAAGAAGAAGAAGAAAATTTCATTTCTATAGCGCCTCTCAAGATAAAAATCACGAGGCGCTTAAGCATAATTCTGCGCACACGAAGACGCATAAGAGACCTGAATGATGAAGCTCAATGGTTAAAGGAATCACTGAAGCGGTGTGAAGCGCTCCGTCGCGCGTCTAGACGGTACCGTAGGAGGCGAGCTGCCGTGGTTTGCCGCATGCTACAGCAGCGAGCTATCTAGGTGCGCACAGCGTCCCCCGGTCCCCTCCTCCTCCCCCTCCCTCTTGTCCAGAACTTTACCTCACCAGTCTGGAGCAGCCACCCTGTCCGTAACAAGTCCGGACCTGTTACTAGGGGCTTCGTCCGGATAAATTCCGGAACACGTTATCCGGATGTTTGTATTCAAACACCAACGTCTTACGGACAGAGTCCGGAACATTTCCGTTTTTCATGGCCTGTCTGAAGGGGGCTCTAGAGAGCCTGGAGGGGGTTGGGGACACACCGGGACACTGAAACCTGGGGGAAGCACCTAAGGGGAAAAAACCTGGAGTGGCCTGGGGGACACAAGGAGGCACATGAGGAGGGATGCATAAAAGGAGACATATGAGGAACACAAGGAGACACATAAAGGGAGAGGGATGGAGAACACAAGGAGACACATAAGGGAAACCTAAAGAGGGATGGAGAACACAAGGAGGCACATGAGGGAGATGCAGGACACAGACCATGATAAGAAAGACAGCAGCAGCTCAGATAACCACTAGTTCCTGTCAGCTAAGAACAGGAAGGTGCTGCTGATGGTAGCGGTGGGGTTCTTGTCCCACTCTGGAACCCTCAGTACCACCTGAGCCTGGTTTAAACACCACAGCCTACTTGAGTATTGCTGTTGACCATGCCCATCCCTTTAAGACCACATGAACCCATTTACTGATGGCTACTTCCAGCAGGATCATTTACCATGCCCCAAAGCTCAGATCACC